GCAGATACATGCTTGCGCCTGGTTGTTTGATGATGTTGGGTGGTTTTTTGCAGCGTGATATGGCTGGCTTCTCCGCCTTAAGGGCACAGCGGCACACGGCCGGTCTGGCATAGCCTTCTTAGATGGTTGACAGGACTCAAATAGCTACACAATCCCGAAATCGTGTATCACATGGCAACCAATTTCATTGGGGGGGCTTCCGCTTCTGAAATTTATGGGTTCGAACGGCAGCATGAGAGAAGTAGCTCTGCCATTGATCCACTCGGCTCTCAATCCGTTAGCTTCCGACAAGCTTAACAAGCGCGACTTGTGGGTAATGCCGAACTCGAGCAAAATAAAGGGAGGATAGTGCATGCACGCATAAGTAACAATAACATGAACACATATCGCAATTACGTGTAGGGCATCTCTTGTTGTCGTGGCGATATCTCGTTTGGCCACACGGTGGTCGTGGAGGCATCTAGCTGGCGTGACATGCAGCGCCCTCGCCCCAAGTCTGCAAAGCCCAGCTGGGCCGGCATGGATGACTGGACGCCAGCGGCGGTGAGAGACTGGCTGACGGAGGTGGGCTACGCCAGTGTCGGCGAAGCCGCACTGCGTGCGGGTGTCTCGGGTTGCGCGCTCCCTTTTCTGGGCCACGAGGGCTTTCGAGAGCTTGGTCTTGAGAGCACTGTGGAGCGTGCGAAGGTTCTCGGCCTGTTGTCGAAGCTGACTGCACAGTCGGGAACGACGGAGACGAAAAACGAGTCATGCTGGCAGGAGCTTCGAACACCTTTGCCCGAGCTTTCCCCGGACTGCTGCCGAAGCAAGCCCCGTTCGGCTTGGAGCCGAGTGAAGCAGGTCGCAGCCAGGATAGACAGGTTGGTGTTCGCAGATCACAAGAAACCTTGGTTTGAGCACTTGGCAATGTCAGGCAGATCACCCGATGCAGTGCGCGAAGCTTTAATGACACAGCTGGACAGCTACAACCTGCTGACCCTTCTCCTACTTGCCACGGTCCTGCCCACGTCGGTATCCATCGGCGTGGAGTTGGAATGGGATGCCGACGGGATGCCGACATCACAGTTCAAGCTGGCATGTTTGGTCTACAGCATGATGTACAGCATTGTCATCTTCTTTCACTTCACACTGGTCCACATCACTTCCGTGCTGGTCACTGACGTAAGCGCAGCGAACTTCCAACTGTTCTTAGATGCGTTTGGCAAGGATCTCATGGCGGATGTGGGCCTCTTCTTCCTGGTGATCGTCTTCAGTTTTTTCCCTTGGGTTCTTCTGTCCATGGCAGCAGTGATTGCTGAATCTGCGCATTGGACGGTATGGGCTGTTGCATTCCCATGCGGCTTGTTGCCCGTTCTCTTTCTGCTGTTTTTTGCAGCTAATCGTCTTGGCAAGGACGATTCGGGACAGAGGCCACGGGTAGCTGATTGTGCACTCCTGAACCTTCGCCCACTGCTAAGGCTCACGCTGCATTGTGGACTAATGAGCGTGGCTCCCGTGGACATGAACGGCGTTCCAAGGGACCGTCGCTCTTTGCTTGAAGCTCTTTCCCAGCGTGCCATGGAGTCCATGCAGCTCCCCTCTGCGGAGCCCGATCACGCCGAGTCCGAGGCAGAAGAGGTGGAACAGGTGGACGAAGCCGTTCTTTGGGCTACAAACGTGTAGTTCCAAGAGACACGAGTCTGAAGGTCGCCGCCAGAAAGAGACGAGAGCATGAGAATTGCCGGCACGTGCACGAACGGAAGGAGTCGTGCCGCAGTCGACAGCGTAGCATTGAGGGTGTGCAGATTGAGCGACCTTTGAGACCGCGTGTTGGGCAGACGTCTTACCCGATATTCAAGCCACTGAGCAGCGCCGTGGTGGACGTGTGAAGCAGGACATTTCGTATCTGGGTTCTGAGCGTTCCTGTTGATGGAGACGGACCACTGCATACTGATGTAGATGCATATGTACAGGTATATGTATTTGTGCATGACAGCGTGTGTTTGCTTGTTTGTATGTTTGTGCCTTAGTGTTATTCGTTTACTTGTTGTCCACGTTCACTACGCGCTGTCTGGTGGTGAAGCGAGTGTTATCGTGTAGTTAAACGCATCAACGCTTTGTAAGCGGAGGCTGCACCAGTTGGTAGGAACAAGCTTCTTGCCGCACGACGGATCCTCAACCAGTTTAGTGCTGACCCAAGCAGTGTTCTCAAAACATTGATAGCTCTGGGCTCTGGGTGATGAAGTACAGGAGGGTTGGCTATTCCACCTCACATATTCAGTGCGACTGTAAACGGCTCGGTGCCGGTTCTCGGACAGCTCTCAGCAACAGCATGCCGACAGCATGTATCGGATGTAAGAGAGGGGGCATGGAGCTCCTTGACGAGCTGCTTGTTTGCTGAAACCTGCCGGGCTCGAGAAGCATTAGATCGTGTGCTAGTCCATGCTTTCAAGAAGTCATTAGCAACAAGTTCAACAGACACCAGTTGTGAGCGATGCTTTGACACCGTTAGAGGATGGCGGGCAAGTGAGAGCAGCATAGATAGCTTGAGCGAGCAGTAGTGACGTATGATTCTGAAATATTCGTATAGCACATAAATATACATATACATATGTAACCTACTGATACATAGATTGGTTGATTTACTTATCTAAGTACATGCGCATAACTGTAAATATACATGTATGTATATATATATATATATATATATGGAAACACTTGTGCACGTCGAGATTTTCCCACCTTCGCAGTGGTGGCATGCAGCGCGCTCGCCCCAAGTCTGCAAAGCCCAGCGGGGCCGGCATGGATGACTGGACGCCAGCGGCGGTGAGAGACTGGCTGACGGAGGTGGGCTACGCCAGTGTCGGCGAAGCCGCACTGCGTGCGGGTGTCTCGGGTTGCGCGCTCCCTTTTCTGGGCCACGAGGGCTTTCGAGAGCTTGGTCTTGAGAGCACCGTGGAGCGTGCGAAAGTTCTTGGCCTGTTGTCGAAGCTGACTGCACAGTCGGGAACGACGGAGAAGACTAACGAGTCACGCTGGCAGGAGCTTCGAAGACCTTTGCCCGAGATATCCCCGGACTGCTGCCGAAGCAAGCCCCGTTCGGCTTGGAGCCGATTGAAGCAGGTCGCAGCCAGGGTAGATAGCGTGGCCTTTGCGGATCACAAGAAGCCCTGGTTTGAGCACTTGGCAATGTCAGGTAGGTCACCTGATGCAGTGCGCGAAGCTTTAATGACACAGTTGGACAGCTACAACCTGCTGACCCTTCTCCTACTTGCCACGGTCCTGCCCACGTCGGTATCTATCGGGAATGAATTAAAATGGGATGCAGACGGGATGCCGACATCACAGATCAAGCTGGCGTACCTTGTCTACAGCATGATGTATAGCATCGTCATTTTCTTTCACTTTTCCCTTGTCCACATCACCTCCGTGCTGGTCACTGACGTAAGCACGGCAAACTTTCAACTATTCTTGGATGCGTTTGGCAAAGACCTCATGACAGATGTGGGTTTGTTCTTCCTGGTCGTTGTGTTCAATTTTGTACCGTGGGTACTTCTCTCGCTTGCGGCTGTGCTCGGAGCGTCTGCTCATTGGCAGGTGTGGGCTGCTGCTTATCCGTGTGTGCTTGTCCCGGTCGGTTTGATGACAGCTTGTGCTGGAAAGCTGCTAGGCAAAGACGACTCGGGCCACAGGCCTCGCCTCAGGGACGGAGCCCTGCTGTGTTTGCGACCGCTTCTTCGGCTGACAATGCATTCTGGACTTATGGCTGTGGCTCCAGTTTGTGTGGACGGAGTGCCTCGCGACCGAGTTTCCCTGCTCGAAGCTCTTTCGCAGAGGGCCGCCGAACAAGTTCCCGTTACGGACGAAACCGAATCTTGCGATGAGGTGGAGGCAGAGGTGGAAGAGCCGGTAAAGATTGTCCACGAAGCCTTGTAAAGATTGTAAATATTGGCCTAGATGCTGTATGCTACGCCTTAGCAGTGTGTCGTCAAAGCTACGATCTGGTATGCATACAAGAAGCAGTGAGCACCAAGTTCGGCGGCAAAAGAAGTTGCTGCTCGACGTGCTAGCACCCGGAAAAACAACTCCGTGCGAAGTCTGTTCAAGCCAGGACCTAAAGCCAGAAATTCTCCACGGTCTGCTTGATTGTCATACTCAAAGAGAACATCCTTTCCTCCATGTGTGGAACGAGAGGCACCGAGCTCCCTAGTTGCATTCCGGATCGAACGAAGACTCCTCACGCCGAGATCTTCCATTTCTCGCCCAGCGCCTGTCTTTCGCCTGGGTCCCGGAACAGTGCAAAGACATGGCTTGCAGACTTCCGATTAGCAAAACCAGTTTAGTGTTTACTTTTTGTCTATGGTCACACGCTCCGCAGCCCCCGCCCCCTATGGTCTATGGTCCAGGATGTCTTCCCTCTCCTGTGGGGTGTGGGATCCCTCTTCCCCCTGTGGGGTGTTGGGGTTTTGGGTCCAGCTTAAGCTTTTGGGTTTAGGGTTAAATGCGGTACAAGGCTTCGCGGCGACACGGGCTTACGGAAGGGTTGGGGTGTAGGTTCGTTAGGGTTGACGGTTTATGTTCTGGTTTAGGCTGTTAGCCTGCATTTCGGCAGGGTTCAGGGTTGGGTGTAGGGTTGTAGGTATAGGTTATAAGGTTATAACGTAACAAAATAGTAGCACGCGCTACTGCGCTACGTTTTTGTTTTGGATTTATGATTTAAGGCTTGTGCAGGGCGTGTGTAATGTCAAGTGCTCAGTGCTCATCGGCAGTTCGAGGATGGTAGTTCCGGTCACTAGTCCACAGCTAAGTCGCATTTACTTGATCTTGCTCTGTGCGATACAGGATGATACGCGGTAAGGTTGCGCATTACACTACGCAATTACCCGTGGACCCTCGATCTGTCAAGGTAGCTGCATGGTAAATGGTACCCGAACCGAACAGCCTTGCCCGGAGTGCCCGAGTTGCAAAATCCAGAATGTGACAGTCTCGCTGTTTGTTTGCCCTCCCAGGTGCCGCCGCCCATGCGTGCACAGGTGGCCAAGGAGTGCATGGACCCCCAATTCACCGCCGCACTTCGCCAGGCCCGCGTTGCTGGTAAAGAAAGGCAAAAGAAACAGCGGCCTACTATAATCAAGATTCTTCCTGCCCGAAGAACTAAAGCCTGAAGCCTAGTCCCGAAGCCAGAACCGTCAGTTCCTGCGCCCACGAATTCTGTTCTGTTTGTGCCACGCATCATGCACTGGCCACTTGCTCTACTATAGTCCACAGAAGTTCTTGAATTCGTCAGGCCTTCCACATAGCGGAAGATGCTGGTGCTGAGCAGGAGCCGCTAGCTCGCGGGACGCTATCCCCGGATGCTACGCTGCAAAAGCGCAGAGAGTCGGAAGCCAAAACCAGCTAAGTCTATGCGCGACCAGGCGAAATTGTCAACCCTGGATGACTGCAGTCGCGACCTGCTGTAAGGGTGGAAGCAGCATCAGAAGACTGAGGAAAAGCTTTGCTTGCAGGAATTAGTTGTGCTCTGGCGCATTGTCAAAGGCGTGCTGTCCTCAGCCTCCAGAGAAGCCATGAGAAGCCCAAATGTCCAGAGTTTTCAAGAGCTTTTGCAAATTGTTGTCGTATTGCCAGTATCTGCAGTTGATCGCTGGATTCGATTTCTAACCTGTGAACACTGGAAGACCACGGAGTGCCTGCGCAAACAGACCTTGGTTGAGACTCTGGTGTCCTGTGCTGTCTCCGTCAAACTCTGCCCAAGGTCTTTCTGCTGGCGGACGCAAAAGCGACCCAGCGTTACCTGAGGTGCCAACTGTCGAAGATTCACGAGTGGATGCGAACTGGCTGATGTGATGCTGAGACTGTGACCCCTCATCTGAGCACAAGCGCATCGATATGGTGTCTTGCTTCACTGGAACTTGAACTAGTGTACCATTGACTTGAACAATGCTGAGTAGACATCAAGCATGTTTCTAGATCATGTGTATGCACGTGTATATACACAGATACACGATGGATCGTTAGATAGGTTCTTATACATACACTAATGAATGAGGAAAATATCAACAAATGCACATATGTATATATATATATATATGTAAAACTATGTACGCGCGGTTGTGTGGGTGTGTGGGTGCGGGCGGGTGTGCGGGCGGGCGTGTTGTGGTCAGGTTCTTCGCGAGCCGCGCACGCGCACAAGCAGACACTAAATCCACAAGAAAGGCATTGCTGCTGCGGACCACGGATTGGTTTGAGGGGCACTTGGTGCGATGTTGGAAAGGAATCCAGTGTAAGGGTGCTGAGCGGCGGGGGATGGTTGACAGGGTAAGAGAGTATGGAAGCGACCAAAGTCTCGCCGGAGCAAGCGAGGCTCAGGGAGCTGTTGTTCTTGATTCTGCATATCTCAACTACGCCGGAACTCTGGAAGCTCCTTTTCTAGCTCACGGCCGGTCGGCCCCTAGTTTAAACCGGAGAAGAAATGCGAAAATGGAGGGGAAGCTGTGCAAGAATGAGTTGGAAACAGGAATGCAAGCAGCACTCGTCACTGCACTACTATGTCTTCTTCGCGGCCAAGTAAACTACCGTTTTCTCGACAACCGGCGAGCATGTGCGAAGCAGAGCACGCACGGCTATCCGGTTTTGGAAAGACGGGCGTCGTGCCGTCGACAAGATTTCGTTTTCTTGAGAAGGGTCGGTATGGCAAGGAACTGGGCTGGTAAGAATGAACTGTCCTTCTCAGTGTCGTGTTGCCGACTGCTTGTTCATTGTGGAATCCACTTTGCATTCCTCACGCTTGATCCCTGACATCAGCGATGAAATCTTGCCTGCTGTTCATACGTCCGCGAAGGCAAGACCTGTACGAGGACGTGATGGGCATGCTCGAGTATGATGAGGGCGCGCCCGTGAGACATCTTCTTGCGTACATACAGCGCCTACCAGAATCTGCCATACTCCGAGGCATACCGAAAGAAAAGCGCATCTGTCACAGGCAAATGCTGAAGGCGGAGACGGGGCATTGTGCAGTTGTTGGGTGCTTCAGAAGACAGGGGACGTTCTGTAAACGACAAAGCAGAATCCTTGTTGGAGGGACCCCGGCCGGAAGAAGTCCCACATCCTAAGACATCCGCGCACAGCCGAAAGAAACAGAGCGATAGATATGGAGGGAGGCCAGTGGGCCCTCGTGCGCGAGTAGGGTTGAGTGCCCTGCCTTGGATGTCCCTTAGGAAAGAAAGAGAGAGCAAAACGACACAAGTACATGACGATGCCGTGGAATGGCTTTTTGTGGGGTTTGACGGGTGCTGTTATGGGTGCAGTGTGTCCAAGGTGTTGAGGTCAAGGCAGTCTCTCGTCGTTATCCGGCGTCTTGCGTGGACCTGCGCTTTCCTCCGTCTTGTGAAGCCTTGAGGTTAGTTCGGATGCCGCTTAGGTTGTTCCTTCAGAGTGTTCCCGTTTACGCGAATCGGGCGTGTCACTTCAGCTGGCTTCCTGCGCAGATACTTAACTTGCTGCCTTCTGCCGCGGAGAACACTCCTGTGATCTGTCCATTATGCGAGTGCTGGAAGCTTCATACAGAGACACAATGCACTATGTCGGGAACGAACGGCTTTCCCAGATTCATGCCTAATTGTTTTTACATCCCTGCAAAGCCCCAAGACATTCGGGGACCTGGTGGCCGGGGCGCTTACTGAACATGATGTACAGTACACCGTGATCACTGATCGTGATTCGCTACTAGAAGGGGGTGCCCCGCTCTTCCTTCATGCCATGTAAAAGAAGAAGAAGAAGCGAGACAAAGACAGACGTGACTTTCCACTCGTCCAGGTGGCCGTTCGCTTCAAAGAGGTTCGGAGCTTGGGGTGGTAGAAGGACAGCTCAGTTTCGGGCTTGGTCTGTATGAAGGGGCCCGTTTTTCACGTAGAAAACGGTGCTGAATTGAAGGCTGTAGCCACACACCTGAGTCTTTGCGGCTACTGAGGCTTTTACATTGACGTCATTTGCATAGTGCAAATGATCATACACACATATATATATCTACATATTTCGTACAATTCCAGAATATGTTGGTGTATTCCCTACTTTCATTACTATTGTTGCTGGCCCTTTGCCAGGTCTTGACCTTCCAAGATGCTGAGATGCTCGGGGGCCTGGGGAGCTTTACCCGAATCGGGTTGCACGATGCATGTTCGAGGTTCGAGGTGTGTAACCTAAGCTCGAAAGACCTGGTCGTCGTAAACTGTGTATTTGATCCTGGTACGTTTCGTAGCTTCCTTGTGTCCTTAACGCCTGTCTGTAAAGCAAGATCCGCCACCTTGTTGGCAGGCTCACTGCTACTGATAGAGCCTCAAAACAAACAGCGCGCTCGCGGAAGTAGCACAAACTGCACCAGCTGCGAAGGCTCTGCTTGCAGGGCAGAGCGGCGCCGCTGTGATCTCTCGACACCATCATGGCAGCTCGAATTCCCCAGCCCCGGCCCAGCTCCAGCCCGGCACACCCTCCGAAATGCTGCAGAAACTGCGAGAGATGTAGAGCCGCGAGCCAGCTTGCAGCCGCCCAGGCTTGAGCTGATCCACTTGAACTACCGGGTGCCAGGAGTCCCAGTAAGCATCGCCCATGCTTCAGCCGGTTTCTGACAACAGATCCTGACCTTGGGTTTCGGGTCGGCCCCGGATCCCGGGCCCTTTCTGCACGATCTCTCTTCAGTCCCGAAAGCTTCGTGGCTGAGGCAGTACCTGAAAGACGCCGTGCACCTGCCTCGGATGACAGGTCATTTCCAGTCCTTAGGAGGCTTTGGTCGAAGATCAGGTTCCTCATACCTTCGATGGTAGATGGTGTAATCAGGAGCGTCTGAATGCACGCGACCCTTTGGTAGACATGTGGAGCTTGAAAAACCAGTATACTCATTTCAAACACCCTTCGTGTTTAAGTACCTCCCTCCAGTTTCACGAAAGCCTGTTGGGGACCCAGACTTCTTTCAAGACCTTTGCTTATCTAGGGGGCTGTTGTTCAACTAACCGGCACGCTTACCATACCAGGGGTCCTGATACTCAGGAAATGAAGATAGCATCACGTAGGGTTGCCCATTTTCTGGAATCAAATTGCCGAGTGTGAGTGAAAAGAGCATATATTACATGTATGTGTATCTTGCGGTGCTAGGCATGTGTGCGAGTTTGCATGTATGTATGTATATGCATATATGTAGGTAGATATACAAGTAAGTATGTGCATATTCAGTTCACATACACATACACAAATTCCTTTTTGATAGATTGCTTAGTGTACAAGTACCAATATGTATCGATCCGGTTGATCTCAGCGACGAACATGTGGACTCGGTAGGGGCTATGAGGGGTTGCCTGATCCGAGCGGCTGTAGTTCGCAGGATATTTGCGCCATAAAACAGTGTATGTACAACCACCGGGCAGCGGTTAGCTTGAATGTGCCAAGGACACGCATCAGGCTCACATGTGGTCTTCGATCCTTGTCGCGCAGGTTGCCACGTGTTTTGGATGACGCAGCATTTGCTTCGTTGCCATCAGCCCAGACGTGCCAGCACTGGGTCTCTAGGATTGGGAGATTTGCCACATATTTCGCACCAGAGCATTTTTCCCGGCCCTGCGAAAGGACCACCTCCAAACAAGCGCATATGTATCGAGTCCAAGCCCAGGTCTGATACAGTTTAAGCCCCTTGTCTCGGCTGTATTCTGACATGCATGGACCTTGCTGGTGTCTGTTTTGCAGCATGCCGTCACATTCCGACAGATACAACAGGTTTTACCACAGAGCTTGGGGGTCTCCCTTGCCGGTCCTTTCAGCATTCTGGTTTCGGCATGTCCCGGATGTGCCCTCGTGCCGCAGCCTTGCTGGCTTATCGATGGCTCTCCTGCTCCGCGTGCGAGCCCATGGAGCCGGAGAGAAGCATGGCAGAATTTCCCAGTGTTTTCTGCACAGAAAAGGCGTGTGCATGTCTGTGTGTATATGTCTAAAAGAATAGAAGATCTGTGTGTATAGCAAAGGGGCCTTGTGTGAAATTTCGAGGATCGTCAGCCAAGGAGACCAGAAGGTGTCGGAACAGGCATGGACAGAGCCAGTCGTGGAGCTGCCGCATGCCGTGCCTTGAGCCACATCCGCTTGGGGCTTGCAGCGATTACATTGATGAAAGCTCCAACAAAGCGCAGACAGTTCTCGATGTACAAGAACAGCTGAAGCTCCAAGATTCGACGGAGCAATGCATGCCCTCTCGAATGCTGGAAGTTCCACGCCACACGTAGTGACTGCTAGTGTTGCTTGAGGTTCAGGACGAGCGGGAGGAGAATGATCTCATCGATATCTCGGCCAAGGCAGCGAACGACGGCTTCCATAAATCGGACTTTCAGCTGCCATCGCGGGTCTTCCACTGTAGTCGTGACAAAGCTAGCACTCGCTGTTGGCAGCCTTAGGAGATTTCCGTACAGAAAAAGTACACCAGGCCCCGATAGCCCTATATGCCCTTAAGGAAGCCAGAGCGAAAGGCACCCGACATCTACGAGGCAGATGAGGAGATGGGGTTCTGAAAGATTCCGGGTTTAGTGTTTAGACCCTCTCAGTCTGCAACGCCGAAGACCAACCTGTCCACCAGGACCTTCCTTGCACCCTTGAGTAGGGGTATGAGAGGTATTTAGGGTATACTCGAGGGAGGATGGAGAGTCTAGGCGCGAGGCAGAGCCGTGGAAGTTGAGAGCTTTGGGTTGCTTCTTGGGCTTGGCTCTTGAGCTCAACCTTGAGTGCACATCACTTTGAGATGCATCCTGCCAGACTTGGCGATGTGACCCAGGGCGGTACTCACCGAGGGGCTTCGGGCTTAGAGGTATGCTGGGGCGCCGGGCTGACACGCTTCTCTGATTTCAGCTCTTCGCGATTTCCACGGCTGGTTTCCGTATGTTGTTGGCTTTTGAGTCCGTGCTTCTGCAGGGTGACACTGAGAAGTTGGCCTTCTCTCTGCAGCGTGACTTCCTTGAGCTCAGCTGCTGGCAAAACAACTGCAAGGAGCTGCCTGTGCCGCCGCAGTCAAAGGAAGATACGGATGTCGTCAAGGACGGACCGCGAAACCTGATCATGAGTCACGAGTTCAACCTGCAGCCCATGCCCAGGGTGTATGTACATGCGTGCTTGCATGCCGCCTCGACCGCACATACAGAGCCAAAGTTGTTTGCATGTAATGCCGCCAAATGCCGGGAGAGAAGCTGTGGTGCATTTGGCAAGGAATGTCATTGTTCTGATTTCCGTCGTTGCTTACATTCCGGCCAGCAACTACAAGTTTGAGACTTTGAATTGCTTTCTGATGCTGTGCATTCCGAATCTTTTTGGAATGCGGTTCGCTTGGAAAGTTCGCCGCTTAAGCTCTCACCAAATCCTCGCCAGGGTTGAGTGTCTAGTGGCTGTCAGTTGAGGCATGAGAGCAGGAGAAAGTTCCTTTGTCGTGCCTGCATTCTCTGCTGGTCCTTGCACACCGCATTGGGTTCAAGTTTTCACTTATTGCAGGAAAGGCCTGCCACGGCATCTCTGTGCAAGCTGTACTCCATGATGGATGCTGTGGACGCGGTGGTGCTTTTCTTGGGCTTCGTAGGCCAGTTGGGGAACATGCCGCAGGGCAGGGATTTAGAGTCATGCCTACGATCGAGTGCGCGGACAACCTGTCTTGCCGACATGCTGTCAGAGCAGAAGGCCGCTTCCCTAAGATGGACCGTAGAGCTATGGCGAACGAAAAACTGAACTGTATATCCCGACGAAAGTGCCGGACCCCGATGCGGAGTTGGAGCGAAAATCTGTAAAGTGCCAAGGAAGAGAGAATCTTCACCGTTTGTTTGACAGTTCTCTACAACTCCATTGGCTTACGGCCAGGTGCCGCTGGGAATGGGTTGTGTCAGCCATTGACGCTGGTCTTGAGCAACGTGTCGTCGTGAGTCGTTGCGTAGTCTCCACAAGGACTCGGTTGCGTGCAACAGCAACATGGCATAGTCAAGTGCAACTACCACGAGCGGCCACTGCACGCAAGCGGGCATGCTCGAAAGCGCACGTCACATGCCTAGCCTAGACTAGCCTAGCCTAGTTTATCCTTTCATATCAAGTCATTCATATAGACACATACATAGACATACCAGTAAATACATACATACATACATAATTAATTAATCCCTTCATCCGTTTAACAAAAACCCCAACCCCCCACCAAAAATATATATATATATATATATAAAGAGTGATGTTGGGTCTTTAGTTTTTTAATTTTAGTGGGATTTTGGGTGTTTGGATTTCTAGTGCCAGGCAAGGGCACGCATCTAAGCAAAAGCATGGGACAGGGCAAAAGAGCGCTAGCCTGGGAGTTCCGATAACGCCACGCGCGACGTTTTAGGTGTGTTCACTCGCCTAGCCTGGTAGTTCCGGATCGAGACAGTATGAAACATGCAAGATATTCCGGAACTCCAGGATAGGCGAGCGAAAGCTCTTAAAGTCCCGAGGCTAGTGCCAGTAAAAGATACCGATGCGCACCCAGGTGGCTTTCCCCAGGCAGGGTCCAATGCGCACCCAGTCCGAAATACTCCCCCTAATATTAAACTTCTGTTGTCTAAAATGGCCCCAGCCTGCGAATATCCAATTCTCCATGCCAGCCGTTCCAATTCCAAACGCGGCCCTAGCCTGGGAATTCCAAATCTAGACCGATAAACCTTGAAATTCCCACATCCGGACTCTCCTCGGACCTCCCTCAGACGCATTCGGACGCCGCGTTCCTGCTCCAAATGTCCGCGTTCCAATTGCAAATGCGTGCCCTAGCCTGGTAATCCGGGATTCGTTCCAATCGCTTCATGCCGATCCTACTTGTGCCCTAATTCAACATGCCTTTAAATCTACTCATTTGGGAGCTTTTTGCTCAAAACTGGAATTTGTTTCGGCCGGTGAATTCTTTGTGAAAAGGGGGGTTTTATTAACCGGAGGATTTATTAAACGGATGAAGGGCTTACGTACGTACATATATGCATACGTGCGTGCATGCATACTTACTTACATACATCACACACATACAAAAGCACATTCGTACATACACACCTATATACATCAGACATTGGTAGGCACATGCATACATACATACGTACAACTGCAAGACCTCACAATACACGTACGAGCAGGATTTCTTTATACGGCTGGAGAACGTGGCGACGTTCGAGTAGGTCCTGTGTAGCAGTTTCGGGCTCCAGACCGATTCTGAGGAGGATGTTGGTGATGCGATGGTGCTGATGATGAAGATGGTGAAGTTGGTGCTGATGAAGGAGGGTTGTGGTGCTACCTTGATGGCTAATGAGACTCCCATCATTGGGTCTTTGCCGCAACCCGGTCTGCTTCCTTTCCGTGCCGACCGGACACGCCCCAGCAGCCCAGCGACAGAAACACAACCTCCTGTCAGGCAATCTGACGCCCTGGACCCCAACCTGACCCCGAAATCGCCAACCGACCCCCCAAACTCCAATCTGACCCCCACCCAGACGGGCACAAAAAAACACGAGACCCTTGATTCATACTAGTTTCATACTCCATCATCGAAAACAAGGTGTTTCTGAGGTGGGCATATACATGCATAATGTTTAGGTCCATCGGTACAATCGATGCATATGTTTGTTTGCTTTTCGCATGCATGTCCTTTGGCCTTTGTTCTTCGAAGAGATGAGTTTCGACGTGAACTGCCTTGAAGTCTGTTTTGAAGTCGGGACTGCCATTGCCCAACATGCAATGCCGTCGCACGTGGAGCGTCAGCTAGTCAACAACTAGTTGTTCCTGTGCCGAGGATGTGCATCGTCTTCGGTGACCTCATTGATGGCATGGGAGGCAACGCCGTGGACGTGCCACTTGGTCGCGAATTGTGTGGAAGGGAGTTTTCATTTTTAGCCCGGCACGGGCAGTAGGCAAAGAGTTGTGCACCGGGTTCCGTTCCCATTCCCCACACACACAGACGGAGACGGTGGCCCATCCGCCCGTCAGGCCGGGGGCCGAAGCCACAGTGACTGAACTCTGCTACTTGTACTCGTAGCAGCCGCTTCTTGTCGGCACGTGGCCAGCAGTTGAGGTCGCCCGAGATGATGGAAGCAGGCAAGCCGGCAGGGTAGGGTGAACAGATACGAAGTCGACTTACAATACTTACAAGTTACAAGTACAACCTCTAAACTCTGGGCCTGGGCTATATCAGGCCTAGTGCTCTCTACACGGTCTCTGCATCGGTTCAATGTAGAAGCAAGCAACTTTCGAAGCCGTCTCTTGCTGGGCATAGGCATGGCGGCGATGATGGACCAGATGGAGGCCCCGCATAGCTCGAGAGATCTGGAGAAGCAAGTCTGTGGCTGTCGTTCAATCCCGATTCAAGACCCGTCTGGTCAGCAGCATCCACCGTTTGAACCAGAAAGCGTTCGAAAGAAAACCAGAGAGCTCGGAGCATCTCGGAGCTGGAGTTAGGACAAGCTTCGCCCTCCGAGCACCGAGTCCCACTGAGCCTAGCAGGAGCTCTGTGTGACGATGTTACTCGTCGGCCTCGGTTCCTTCGTCGGGGCCTCCCTCCAGGCAGGTTCTGTCTCTCTGTCTCCCTATGAGGGGAGTTAGAGCGAAGTATCCGTGAATGATGGGCTGTTTGCATGAAAGCATTCAGAGGCGGCATAGACATTTGGGTAGAGTCCCTCTTAAAGAAGCTTCCGAAAGATTTCAGATTGAGCACATTTTGAACTCCTACTCTAGCTCTCGGGGAAAGCTCTGGCACTACCAATCATGTGGCCTTTGGGATCAAGCAGGCGAAGCTGGATTTCTTACCACACAACTTGGGATCTCCTAGCCTTCTGCAGCGGGTGTGCAGGACAGCGAATTTACGGAATGTTTGGAGAATCCGGCTGGCGTTGCACTAGGGCTACGCTGCTATGCCCTTCTGCCTTGGATTGCCGACCAGCTCTGTGCATCGCAGAACTGACTTACCCAAGAGTTCACGCACTGACTCGGCGAAAGCCATCGTCAGTTCAAGAGCAGCGAACCCTCATTTAGATGCAGGTTTGAAGCTAGCATCAGATCGCGAGCATGTTCTGAAAAAGCGCTGGCTGCAGCGTGACTGGCTGACCTCCTCTGAGCCATTGCAGATCCCTCGACCGGCATCCGCTCTAAGATTTGTGACTCTTTGGAAAGCCGCATGGTCCGTATACCCTTCAAATCTCAAATCGCTAAACAGCCTTGCTGTATCTAGGTCGGTTCACTTGTCTGCTGGTGGAATGTCGTGCGACCCTTGTGTTTGTGAACGGACTGTCTAGGTGACCTGAGGAGCCCCATCGCAACATTCGGAGGCTTCGTAGCTAAGGGATGCCTCAAGAAGTGAATCCGAAAACGTTCCGCTCAAACCGACAAGAAACCATAGTCAGCCATAGTCTCATGATCTGAAGTCTGAAGGGATCTTGCTTCAAGATCTTCGCCGAGCGGCAGGCGCTGAAGTACCGCATGCTGCCGATTCGGCGGCAGTACGGGCGGTACGGGCGGGTATGGGTAAACGGGCAAAGCTTCGGTACTTGAGGTCTAGATCAAGAGGCCTTCTGGACATCGTCCGAGTCGTGACCGAGCCGATTGTCGCACACCGCGCTGTCTTTGTCAACAAAGGCACTCTTTGGTGTCACCAGATGTCTTCTAGGGTACAGATTCGGCGGTGGTCAGCGTCAATTTAGACTGTCCCGCCAGCAAAAGTCTCAGGTACTTCGATGCGGTTCTGCACCAGGACGTCGGCTGGTTTGACACGAAGGCCTCTCGGACTCAAACACGGGAGACAGAGAAGGCCTCGCATACCTCTAGACAGCCCAAAAGAATCTGTGGCGCATCTGCTGGTTGCCCCAAGACCACATTCATACGAAACAGAAGTCCAGGAACTGCGCGGCGGCTGCCCACGACCAACATACCTCTCAAGATCAGGGTAGGATGTTGCCGAAGACATTAGAAAGCAGGTTGGTAAGGATGTGGCCACCCAGAACACAAATAGATACACCCAACCATGCTCATGCATACATTCTATGCAGCATATAAACAGAAACGTGACGTATAATGGTGGGTATACATTAGAATGGGCTGTGTGTCAATATTGCGGGGAGAGGGGTCAGATTGGGTTGTTGGGGGTTTGAGGGGTTGATTGGGGTCAGATTGGCTTGAGGGTTGTTTTGGCTGGGTCAGTGGGGGGTCAGATTGGGTTCAAAGGGGTCAACTCGGATTTGTGCGTTTTGCTGGTTTTAGAGGGCATCAACAGCAATCATTATTTTGCAAGGCTCTTGTGTGTCAGCCAACTCGGCCTTGGCGGTGGGCACGGCGGCGGATGATTTTCATATGCAACAAGGCAGCACCAGTGCCGCAGCCCGGAACATAAGCTGCGGGCAAACGACGGCCACCTCGCCGTCTACTCTGATGAAGCTGGCGGCTGCCTGTGCCAGGCGTTCGCCACTGGAGGAACTATGGATGTCAGCAAGTACGTCGACATCCAGATGTTTTTGACGGCAACCCACGGCTGAGGGTCGCGCCTCCCCACCCCAAAAGGCCGGTACAGGACGAGCCGGGGCTCAACATCGACCCCGCAAACATCCACCTGATATTCTTGCAGCAAGAGCTCTTCCCTGCGACTTGGTGGGCTCAGGTGGCAGCGACAAAGCCCATTGGACTGATGCAGCGGTGCTTGTTCGGTTTCGCTGCCCGGCTTGGCTTCGCGGCAGCTGCACATCAAAGATTCCTCGACGATGTGACCGTGCCCATCATCGAGAGCCTTTTCACAGCAGTGCTGCGCCACTGTGCAAGTCAGTCTACGAGAAGCAAAAAAAGCCCAAGGCCCTTTACTGGCTCGGCACGGCTGTATTGGTGACACATATCCCGGCACATTTATGGCCCCATGCGCTCGAGGGCCGCGTAACAGACATCATCCCGCCAGATGTTTCGGATGGATGTTTGGTCGCAGCCCTCAACTTTGTTCATCGGCGCTATATCTAAGGGCAAGTCGCGGCTGCCCAGGATCTAGCATCGGTCTACAAGACCTGTTCAACGTGCCATGCGGAAAGGAGACCTTGCTTGGCCGCGCATCCACAGCATCTGGCGGCGCCTCGGTGATCTGTGCATTAGTGACCTGCAAGGCGAGGGAGAAGAGACGCACAGCACCTCAGCCAGGATGCATCGCGTGCCACTGACCTTGTTCGGTCGACGAGCCCAGGTCGATCGCCACCACTCTCCTGGGCGTCAGCTACCTCCCTCCCAGCCGCCCCCGCGTGCACGCAAGCCTTTTCACCCCCAGCCGAGCCCTCCGGTGCGCTCTGCTGCTCCTCCTTCTGCGAGCGCTCCGGAGGCCAGGGTTGCATGGTGTCAACAAATCTGCCACAAAGACTAATTTGGCCTGTACCGTGCACTTCTGAGCTCTCCCAAACATGTTCACTGTGACGCATGTTTGAACTTGTTCTTGTGCTGCTTGGCCGCAGGTCTCTGCAGCAAGCGCTACTGCACTGTTACTACATACGCCTTCTCAGGGTATATACCGCTATCATGGACGTCGAGCCTCTGTGCTGCAAGGGGTTTCGAGTGCGCTGTGTGACATCGCTAGCATGTTGTCACGGTGTGTCCTGTTGTTTTGCGCTGGGTCGTATGTATGTGTCAGCTCCTCTCTGTGTCGTACTGTGTATTGACTGTGGCCATTTCCTGTGCAAGGCTGCGCGTCTGGTCGCACGCGCTAGTGATCCGAAGCCCAAGGCGCAAAGCCGCCGCCACTTGCAGCCGAAATATCTCGACCAAAAGGATTTAGGCGCCGTGTTGCGAGCCCCAAAGGCCTTGCTGCAGACTGTTCACGCCCGACAGGAATGGCAGCACCACAGCCACACAGTGGAGAAGGCACATGAGAACCGCCAGCAGGTTGTTTTTCAGGTTGCTTGCACACACGCACACCCATGCCTGCCCGTTCCTTTGGCAGGCTACATAACACCACAAGCAGCGGCTGGGTGGGCATCCCCCACCACTGGCGAGCATGTGCACCAGCCTCGGGCTGAAGAAGCAAGCCGAGCAACTCATTCGCTGTTCACGAAAGCTCAACTTGCTGAGGCACGGACCTACATGAAAGAGACCCGTAACGGTGAGCGGTGTGCCGCCCAGCTCCTCCAGCATCTCGCGGGACGCCGCTTCGGGGAGGTGCACGAGCTACACAGCTGAGCGACTGGATGCGCAATGAGCACAAACGCAGCAAAAGACGTGCCGATCCGGCTCAGCCTCGCGGTGAAGCACGCAGCAAGGTGTACTCAACGCACGCTGGAAGACTGGCCGCAGGAGCTCCCCAAGTCTTTCACGGCACTGCACCTTCTCCAACCCCAAGTTGTTTCTGCAACGGACATCCTTGTGCCTTTCCGTTCCCAAGGCATGCACATGGTGCTTGTTCGCGACAGCCCTGACGAGCGGGAAGTGCACTTTCGAGTTGACACGAAGATGAAGGTTTTGGAACGCGGTCATGGTGTCGCGACCGTGAAGGACCAGCTCCGGAATACACGCTCACGCACGGAAGCGGCAAGCGCGTGCAGGGTCGGGCCTACACCACCCGCGCCGTGCCGTTCCTGCAAGCTGTCATGAGCGACGGGGGCACAGCCCCCAACGGCACGTGCGACCCCTCACAACCTAATCTGACCCCCCAAACATGCCCCAGAAACACGCAGCCCTGTTACAACCCAATAGTGTCAGAGCATGCAGGACGGCAAAACAGTTTACAACCGAAAACAGACAGCACTTACCATCACTTACCTAAAAATAATACTCACATGTACACATCTGCATAAGTCCAGGCACGCATGTATTTGTGCCTGAGAGTTATTACATTCAGCGACCATCCGGTTGCAGCTGTTAGGGCAGGCTTGCAAGTAGCTGCACTGATCCGCGCTTTGCCCTTTCTATCTCTTTCGGAGCTTGCTTCAGGATATTTCTGCGCTTCCATCGGAGATCAACGACGATCTACACAAGATTCAGGATGCCTTTGGCGACAAGTGTCCTGCTGACACGAGATCGTTCACCTGAAGATTTGCTGGGTGCAGATGTGGAGATGTTCCTGCGAAGCTCCTCATGTTTTTTTGCTAGTAGCTGGGTTGAGAATCTGATGTGGCTGAGGTGTGGCAACGGCGTCATGTCTGCTGCAGCATTTTTGGGCGGCTTTGGTTGTGCATTTGGCATGGGCTGGCTGATTGCTCTCGTGTGGCTCGGCATCGAATCCCTGGCACGGTTCGTGCAGGCACAGGTTCTTGTAGCAATACGTAGCCGTGCGTCATCATCCGTGCCCTTAGTGACTTAGTGCTGGCACATGTGATGTGAAGCTCCGGTACGTAGATCTATGATGTTTAAAACTACGAGATTGAAATTCACGCGGATGTCGTTCTACAAAGGCTGCAACCGGAAGGGACTATGCTGTTTCAATCTGTCTCGCATTCCGCCATGCATAGCTAAGTCTTTGTTGTTGTTCTACGCGTAATTGCTGCAGTTGTTTCCTAAGCTGTTCTCTTGAGACTGGCACACGGGCATAAATCCACTCGCCAAGAGTTGCCTGACCACAGGATGTGTGCCATGCTTCCGTTCATGGGAGTCGGCGCGGCCGTCATGGGCAAAGCAATTCAGGCGTCTCGACTGCTTTCAAAACGAATAGCTCGGAGCCTCTGTCGACTTCTGATGCGAGCCCTTACGATGAGTTGCTAGTGTCGGAATCGTGTGGCTCTAGTTTGTTCTGCGCCCCTCGTGCGACGTGCGTTATGCCACAGGACTTTTTCGAGTATTGCAGGTCAAGAGCGAAACGGCAAAGCTGCAACCATCCAAGGAAATCATGCTGGAATCGCAGAGCTGGCAGCCTTTCCGGCAGAGAGAGTTTGCGCATCACGGAATGTTTCTGGCTTCGGGCAGATCATTGTGAAGCATACTCACAGACTGGCTGCTGTTGTATGGGCGCCGAGGGCTTCGGAAACTGCTTCTAGACGAACGAACTTCCCCGTGCAAGGTACGCCAAGGCATCCGGGATAGTCGAGGAGCCGGCTTCTGAATTCCCACCCCGACGGCAAAGCAAAACGGTAGACGCAGGCAAAGGCATGTAAACGCCTTCGCTCAGCCATATTGTCGATGAAGCACCCGGGCCAGGACCTATATAGAACTCTCTACAGTCCATGGTCGGGCATCAAGTCAAGCCCACAACGAATTTTCATGTAGCACATTTTTCTACATGCCCATCACTTTTTGAGGAGTGCCTTTATGCGATGCGCACTGTTGTGGCCTTTGGGGGCGAGCATCGCGAGCTGAAGCGCCTGGCCTCGGATTGTGCCTTCCGAAACGTCGTTGGTCTGAAGTGTGAAGGCTTAGGGCCGCAACAAGAAGCCCGTTTCGATGCCATGCTGGTCCGAGAGCAGGTTCAGCAATTGAATCTTTTGGTGCACCAACTACTGCGCACTGACGGCTTTGCACATACACGCACTGAACACGCATGCCATATGGCCAATGAGAACAGCTGTAGCTAGTACAAACACGCATAATTGCCAGCAGTAGTCATCATCATCATTGTTCTTGTGTCACCACCGCCACAGCAGGCAAAAAAATTGTGTCGAGATGAGGGCTCCCTGCCTCCTCTAAGCACCGTCAAGATAGCAACACTCATATTGGCACAGTGCACCAGTCTGTTCCTGTCTCTAGGCCTCCCTGCGTCATGTCTCTGCATACAAGCGACCTCAGGAAGTTTGCAGAAGCCTTGGTCTATACCCGTCGCGGAGGAACCAAGAATGGCTTCAAGGCGGACGCACGGGCCTGCGTCCGTTCGGACAACACACTGTTTCCAGAGAGCTCACTTGCTTGTCGAACGTAATTTGGCTTGACTTGAGTCGACATGTCGCTCCAACATGCTGGGAAGGAACATGCGTTGCCAGGTCGGGGCCGGTATGGGATACACCATGTGTGTTGTCTTCCTTGGCTACGCTCTTGCCTTCTGGTCCCTTGTCAGATCAGGGTATGCAGGGCAACAACAAGACCATGCCCGTGGAACACAGAAACAAGCCGTTTCGGACAAAGCTCCCAATCTGTTTCCCTGGTTCTGTCTTTTGCTCATCCTGCTGTCCGCAAGATATGCAGCTTGAGCTGGCGACCTATGTTGTCTGAGTAGCGGAACAGTTCGCCTCCCGCTTCTGCAGAGCATTGGTAGGATGGGAAGAGCGGCTTACATTTCGCAATTAAGTATGGCTCGTTTTTAGGCTTCGTATGCGAAGGTCCTGCTCCGGATGACTGTCCTCTCAATCCTTTCCTTCGTTCGCGTGTAACAGAAGCAGAGAAACATGGCATTGCCATTTAGCGATCGCGGAATGCCACTCAGGTTCGGTATGACTCTCCGTTACCACGACCAGATCAACCCATCTACCGGCCGCACGCCTGTGGTGTAGTGCAGGCTGTACTTGAGGTGGTCTTGCAGTGTTATGGGCATGGGTTGTCAAGGCTGGATGCGCTAGTGTTGCTCCCCAAACCCTAGCTCTGTCATTGAATTGAGAATAGGCGACAAGGGTTGACTTCATTCTCGTGAAGCTTGCAAGAGAAAATCAATCTAGAAAGTAAACAAGTCTTCAATTGATGCTATTGCCACAGGTGCGGCAAGGAGGAATCATCCTAGAGCAAAGGTCTTTTGCATGACCCACTCTTGCACAGGCTAGTGCTGCAGGTCAGGGTAAATTGAGTGCCTTACCTTGCCAACCAGATCGGTTCGAATCGGCTTCGGTCCACCCAGGGAAGCTTTGGGAGCCCGGCACCATTATGTCGATCTTCTTTTGCATCTTCATTGGGAGCTTCAGCATTGGAAGCCTGGACCCGAGCTTGAAGGTGGGAGTGGCTCTCCTGGGGTGGGGGATGGGAGGCTGAGGGAACATTGCGTGGTAAATCAGACGGTTCACCCAGTAACATTTCATCGTCGTCGCCTCATCAATTCCTCATGTTGTGCTGCTGTGCCATATCATTTAATTTCATCTCATCAGCCGCAACACTTGTGACAACAGTTGACACCATAGCAAGGAAATGAACACAGCAAGCCACCACGGCCATCAGCACGCCAGAGTAGCAACCACCACTACCACAGCAGCAGCACCACTACCACCTCAACCACCACATCATTGAAGTCAAAGCACCACCGTGTCCAGCACCACTATCTCCATAATCAAGAATCAGAAGGGCAACTGCATGGAAACTATGGAGATGCAATTTATGATAACACGCATTCAAGCGTCGAGTGACGATCAACACACGACCCTTGCCAAAACTTGTGCTGCAAATGCCCATACGCCTGACAAGCAACAAGTACGGCACCGGCAAAAGAACTGAACAAGCACCACAGTGGTCGGGCGACATGCATCTCTCCACCACCCTGCTCGGCGCAACAAGCACATCCACACACAGGCACTTCCGCATGCTATTGCCACCACTTCTTCAACCATGTGCAGACCAAGCTTCCCGACCTCGTTCCTGTCTTTTGTTTTAATAGCTGGGACAACGACAGCGTCAAGGAACTTGCTGACGACGACGACCAAGAAGAAGAATGATGCTACCACGACAACAGACAGGATGACGCCCAAATTTACAGCAAGTGAAGCCTAAGCAGACTGGCTTCACATGCGGATGAGTCGGCAGCAATGCGATGCTTGTCCATGTTTTTGGTTCAGTAATCAGCTTAACTGCACGCACGGATGCATCACACATTTTGGTTATGCACAAGAAGTTTCGCGATTAGTTCCAAGCAGGCCATGCGGGCTGCGCAAGCAGCAGCTGGACGCTTCTACTCCATCCTTAACAACAAGCTCCTTGGTGCTGCTTAAGGCTTGGCCCCACACTGCGGCAAAGAAGGTTCATGTGTAAGGCTGTGAGCTTGTATCGCAGCGGCGTCCCGGTAAGCAGCTCATGGCGTCAGCCTTCGGGAATCTTCAGGCTCTCTGTTGGCTGCTTACGGCAGTTCATGTTTTTTCTGGCAACTGAGGTCTGTGATCCAATGTCGGTTGGAGGACAACAGCTGCTCTGCACCTGTCGACGGGGATGTGTCAATCAAAGTAGGTGCCAAAGTCTCAAAACTGCCACATGAGCTCAGCCGAAGGATTCTCGTGACAGCATCGACAGCATCGAGAGCTTTGAGTTCAATGATGTCCACTTTACTTACCCCGCACGTCCAGATGTGAAGGCCGGTGGCTCCGAAGCCAGAGCTCGCGTTTTCGTGTGGACGAACAGAGGCCCCGCCCCGGTGGTTGCATTGTCGTTTTGTGGAGCCTCAGTTTGAGCTTTGTGGATCCGTCACCGCATGGGCTAACGGCTATCGGCTAACGCGAAATGGAAATGAATCATCACAGCCGGCAGATGGGAGGTTGGTTCGGAACAGACCGGATGCACGCAATGATTGGAAAGAGCCAACCTGGACGCCGAAGGTTATCAATGGGCTGTCCCTCACCGTCCAGCGCGGTCAGAAGGTCGCCTTTGTCGGGGAGTCTGGCTCCGGGCTGCTGGGCCGTTTCTCCAGCTTTTGACATGATGTTCAGAAGCATCGTGAATGTAAAGGTCCGGATTCTGATAGCATATGTATTTACGGATATGTATGTGTTTGACAAAACACTCGGAGCGGAGAGCGCTCTGCTGCCCAACTTCTCCAGCATGTGGTCGGAAAATGCTTTGACGAGATCCTATCGGTTTATCTATCTATCTATTTACCTATCTACAAGTTTATGCGTCTGTCCATCTTGTACGACTGTATGTACATGCACCTGCGCGTGGATGTATGCATGTATACATGCATGCATTGCATGTGCCTCTCAGCATGCGCTTGTTTGCAGTGTTTGCCGCATGTTTGAATTTAATTTGTGTGTGTGTGTGTGGGGTAAGAGTAGTTAATTAGTGCGCATTGATGGGTTAGCCCAGGTAGGTTGGCAGGGGCTGTTCTCCATAAACGCTTCCTGACCCATCTGTTTTCTGACCGTATACACAGACTCTCTCCTGAGCCCGAGCCTGGCTCGACATGGCTTGAGGGGCAAGGTCGGTTACATCAGCAGCCTTATTGAGGATCTTCGACGCCATTCAGGGCTTGTCCATGATCGTTGGGACCAGCCTGTGCAGAAGCTCAGGAAGTCCACCGTCATGGCTCTCCTGGAGCGGTTCTACGATCCTGACGCTGGCGTCGTCTCGATCAACGGCAAGGACACCACTCAAACCTTGAGCTAGGGTGCGTTTGAACATAAGGGCCAGACCGTGAAGAGCAGTCCTAGCTCTTCCGATTGGTGGGAGGGTTCGTACCACTCACAAGCGCGAATGTTAAAACGCAGCATCTCATGGGCACATCATGCATCGAGAAGTCCAATACGGGACCGTTGTGACAGATTGCTCGACTCGGGATCTACTCCAGGTATCGTTTTGCCAAAGTAGCCTCCAAAACGGATGCAGACGTAGGGAAATCGTTTCGAGACATGTCAGTAGCCATCTCTGTCTCTCTCTTTCTCTCTCTCTCTCTCTCTCTCTCTCTCGATCGCCCTCTCGCTCGATCGCCGCTTGAACAGTGAGCCTGTGTGCAAGGATATGAGATCCTTCAAGGTGGGTGCGCTGCGACGATGCATCGGGTATGTTGGCCAGGCTGGGAGTGGTGTTCAAGATGCGAAGTGATCTGAATGATAGCAGAGGTACAATTTGCAAGCCAATTGTATCATTGTTCCAGCTACGCAGTGCTTTATGATCCTGATTTGAAAGCTGCCTAGAAAGGAAGCCTGAGTTGAAAAGCCCCGCACAAGTGAATGTGGCAGGAGCCGGTGCTGTTTGCAAGCTCAATTCGCAACAACATCATGCAGGGCAACCCGGAGGTGCGCGGGCCCTCGATGAGGGACCTGTTTGGAGACTTACTCAGTTCTCGGGATGTAAGCCTGTAATTTGTACTTTAGTTGCTTTAGGTGAGATGTGCTTGACTGCTTTGCCAGGGGTCGCGATTAATCGCACCTATCAGTAGCATTCGCATCTTGAGGTGGGTCGTACGTGACTCAGTGCATGCCCATACATATCTGCGTTTGTACACACGTGCACGTCGCACAGTGCATATACCCGTACTGTATGTGCACCTGTTCGCTTATGCATGTATGTGCATACATGTTTGTCTTATCGGGTCGCTCAGCCCCCCTAAGGACAGTCCTTAAATCCAAGATACCAGCCGTTCTCCCTACGAACTGGGAGCCTTTGGCCGCGCATGTGCGAAAATAGAGACAGAGATCCGGAGTTATGTGTGTTTGCGCATTTTTATCCACTTGGCTCGTCTTATTGCTATATTGGCCTATCTATCTGCAAAAAGCCGGGCGAAAGATAGTGTAGCAATTCAGCGAAAAGAGCCACAGGCCAGCAAGGAAGCGTTCACCAAAGCCTGCATGGATGCACAACTGGACTACGTGGAGAATCTGCCGGTCCCTTTGTGCAATGCTACCATGGAGGTCGTACTACTTGTAGCATGCAAGGGTTGGTTTGGTCTTCCGGGGTTGGCTCAAGTATGCTTGGCTCGGTTCGGCTTCAGGGTTATATATATATATATATATATATGCGCCCGTCTGGCACCTTCAAACATGCACCCGAAACAGGAGAGGCCTGTCCTGTTTCTTCTGGTCAGCGAGAGATCTGCGCCGAACAACCCAGGATCAGTACAACACATTCGTTGGCAGTGGTGGAGGGCAGCTCTCAGGAGGCTCCGAAGTTTGGGGGCTCGGTATGGGCTTGGTGCTGTATGCCGAACCTTAAATCAACACTCGTGCCCTTTTGGATCCTACCTTACGATCTAATGCGTTGATCTTTAAGTCTGCTTGGCTCACTGCTGCCCCGTCGCTGACTTTGGAGCCGACTCTTTGAACTATATAATTGTTGTGTATTGTTCACTGCTCCCCGCTGATGTACATGGAAAGTCAGCAGGTAGCACCGCGTGTCAGACATAGAGACCTGTCAGGCTCAACAGCTGAAGCTTTCCTAGCATTTGGGCCCTCTTGGATTCGAAGATCGCCGCCCTTTATGGGGATATTCTAGGGCCTAGTGCGGTGATCTCCTGAGTTTGCTCTGCCAGCTCTTAGTTTCCACCATGTTGCTGACTTTCAGTCCCTGCATTTTGAATTATTGAGGTTTTTGGTGTTGTTCAATGCTCCCTGTGGTGATGCACTGGAAGTCAGCTTGTAGTACCGACCGTCAAAGCACACAGCACCAGAGACCTCGTCAGGCATGTCCGAGTTGCGAGAGCGTAAATCAACACTCGTAGTGGCCAGTTGTCGATTGGGTTCCTGCGCAGGTTGGTTTAGAGGTGGTGTTGGAGGGCCGTTTCAGGTGGCCCTTCCCTTGAGGTATGGAGTGGATCCTCGGGGGGTTCAATTAAACCCCGGGGAGGTTTGCATAAGAGTGATGCCATCTATATCTATGAAGACACGCAAAGATATCTGAAGACATACAAAGGTCACAAAGGCTATGAAAAAGCAAGTTTGCACAAAGACAAATCCAGGCAAGCAAAGCCGAACAAATACAGACAACCACAGACAGAGCTATAAAGACAAAAGCAAACAATTCAACAGCAAACCCAGCCCTTTTGCAATCCCGGAAACCTTGACTCCAAAACAATCGACAGTTTGAAACTACAGAAATAAGTATCCCCAAACACACAAAAAGAAGGGCGGACCCGGTTTGGCCCTTGGCGATCGACAAGGGGGACTTGAGGGGCCCGCACAAAGGTGGAGAGACGGGACAGCAAGCATCTTCACTGTTGCACTCGGCTGCGCCCTATCGAACACATCGTCAACATTGCGAGATAAGAGTCTAGAAAGATTTCAGAGGATTCAAGAAGATGCCGTGAGATTTACTTGCAGCGAGTTTGAAAAAGATTCGCAAGCGAAGAATGCATTCCCAGAAAGCTCTGAGTGGGGTCTACGGGGATCAAGACCACGAAGATTGCCAGCTCAAGGAGTTTCGGGTTTGGGCTGAGGCTGGGGTTCCGGGCTGATTAGGGTTTTGGTGCCCGCGAAAGACACACGAACAACATAAACAAAAAGCAACGAATCATTGCAGCAAAACGTGAAGCAAACAGCAAAGACAAACAGCTATCATTTGTTATATACACCCCGGAAGTGTGAGGCTGCAACCAGGTTACAGAAACATGGAACGCCAAGGAAGGATCAAGGTGGAGCCCATGAGAAGTTGCAGCACTTGATTCCTGGCGGCTGAGGAGTCATTCCTTGCCAGGTCAGAAGCAACGCATCGCCATCGCGAGGGCTTTGCTCAAGAAAGCATCCTTCCTCTTCCTTGACGAGGCACGTTGATTTTAACGCACCATCGCGGAGTTCATGTCTAAGCAGGCGGAGAAGAGCTTAGATTCTACGGGCGAAAGCATCGCGAAGAGACGCTGATCGCCGGTAGTTAGCTGCAGCTTGGGAGGAGCGGCACGCACCGGTCCAGCTTGAGGTTGCCAGGCTTTAGATGAGCCTTTCGATACCAGTGACACATCAAACCCTGATGTTCTTCCGCATTACCGAGTCCGTCTGCCGATGAGAGTACAGTATCTAGAGCATGGCTTCACAGAGACTTCGTCCAAAAAGCTTTTGAGAAGGCCACAAGCGCCCTGGACAATGCCTCAGAAAAGATGATCCAGGCGCCACGAGGAAGCATCATGAAGCATCCTAATTACGGCACGCACCGTGCGTGCTGCAGTTTGTCAACAGCCATCTGCCAAGTCCGCAGGCAACCATCGACAACATCAGCAGCAACATGACAGATGGATTAGGAATTGCTCCTTGTCGAAGATGTGGTGAGTGCAGCCGAATGAATAGGATCGGGAAGCAGATGTCGGGCTCGGAATGGCTCAGGGTGTCCGCAGGTCTCATCTAGCTGGTGATGTGGGTCTCATTGTTGCAGTTGGTTAGTCAAAGCAGGCACGTGTCGGTATAGTGTAGCCGAGTGCTTTTTGAATCTGTGATCAGGTCAGCATTGCCCACCGACTCTCGACTGTTCGCAATGCCGACGTCATCTACGCCGCTTCGCTTGCGAGACCGCTCGACTTTGCTAATTGGTTCATTGCCTGCTGCCTGTTCGGGAGCATGGCAGACAGTTTTCCTCCTGTTTGCAAGCTTGAGTTGGCAATGCCGAAGCAGACCATGGAGCTTTGCAGCCCAAGGTGCTCAGCAGAGGTTCGCTGGTCGAACGAGGAACTCACACGTCACTGATGGAGCTACTTGGGCCTGCTGTGGGTTGCTTTTATATGCCCGGCGAGCTCCTGCAAGTCCCGTCCCCTCAGGCCATGTGTAAGGGTGGCAGATGCATTCTGTCGACTCTGCAGCCAAGCAGCTAAGGAAGAAGGGCACGTATTATGCGCTTGTGGCGGCACAGGAGTCGTCGGACCAGGCCGACGACCGTGGAGTGTCGCAGGGTGAGAGCTGAACTTCCGTCAGCCACAAGTCTCCAAGCCGGAAAGCCCTAGCTGCTCCTTGTTTTTGTGTGTGAGCGCGGTTGCTTCGTTGCTGTGGCTCGGAAGGCTCGGTATCGCGCAGGCTGCATCGCGACCGCGGCCCCTTCTTGGAGTTTTGATGAATGCGCCCTGCAGAGGCAGATGAAGTGGAGAACAACGAGAACGAGGCGTCGGGCTCCGACAGTCTGCATAGCATGCCCTAGACCCCAAGCCGTTGCCCGATCTGCAAGGGCGCAGACACGAAGCCGAAACCCGAAACCCTTGACTAAGGGAGTTGTGAGCGTAGAAACCGTATCCAGCATGAGCGACAGCTTCGTTAACGTCAAAGCTGGTCGAGGCTGCTGCGGAGGAGAAGGCAACCAGGCAAGGCCGCATGGCCGAGTCACATAAACACATGGACAGTTTGAGTTTGCGTGAGCTTGTGTTTTTTTCAGACTCGGAGGCCGATTGTAGCAGTGGCCGTTTCCTTGCCAGCTAATCGTGAGAATAACGTAGCTCATTCATTCACACAAATTGAAGTAGTGTCTGCAATGCCCAGGTATGCGTCAGCTGGCCGCAAGTGTAAGCCCCACAGTATTCAGCAAAGTGCTGACGGTAAGCGTCGCCAGGAGGCAGTCGACGGTTTCAGAAGAGTCTGAGACTGCTCGCGCCGCAAAAGAGAAGATGCTTCGACGGCATAAGTATTTTCTCCCATCATTCCATCAAAGCACAACCGCGAAAGAGACATGCTGTCCTGATTCGGGATTGTGGGAAATGGGAACTGCCTTTGATTCTTGACATTGAGATGCCAGGAAGGGAGGCACAAGGAAGACGCGACACCTTTGGTTGTTTGGGAGGGGATGGACCATCTGAAGTTCTGGCAACCAGAGAAACACCCCATGGAAACCGGCAGCAAACTATGCTGCACCATTCAGGAAAGCGGAGGAGGAACGCGAAAAGGAGATAGTCACGAACTACAAGGCCGCCGTCATCTCCTGGCTTTGCGTCTGCAGCTTCTGTGAGCCTTCTGGTCTTCTGACACGCGAAGAACCCAAGAGTAGCATCAGATTCCTCAGATCATGGATCGAATTAGTTGACGTTTAAAGTCCGCACCAGGTCCCCATGGCACGCCTGCTCAGCTACAACAAACCGGAGTGGCTTCTGGGCCAATTCTGCAGCACCGCATCGCTGCACAGTTTCTTACATACTAAGAGAGTAGACACGGAATGCATGGGGAACAATAGAACAAGTGGTGCTGTGCTATCCGTATCCGACGTGACTGTCAGACCATCAACGAGGCCGTTCTTTGTTCCTGCAGTGCTTGGCGCGCTCGCTGAGGGTGCAGCAATGCCGGCAGCTGGACTTGCAGTAATCGTGCTTGCCACTCGCTTTTTGGTTTTAATCGCTCGCGCAAAACTTGCTGTTAGTCAGTAGGGTAGGGATGCCCACAGTCGCAACACAAAGTCTGACATGCGATTCTTTGCAGGCATTTAGCCACGAGCTCCAGCCAGCGGCCATAAGCATCATGCTTACAGATTCTAAGTTGTGAGTTAATCTGAACCCTAGATTCTCGCACATTCGTAGCTGACAAAAAGGCGTTTCCAACAACATCGGCTCAGGCTCCAAATTCAGATTGTTTGCTCAGTCTACATGACTGGATACGAACCTGCAACCGACTTCCATAAAACGACATGGCCTGCGAAAGCTGGTGGTCATGGTTCCAAACCGCATAATTGCATCTTCGCCCAATATGAGGACGTGTGCTGTTGGTGTCCGAGGTCTGCACCATCGCTTTGGTCGGTTCCATGGAAGCCTTCTTCATAACAGACAAGGCACCGAGGGCCAGACAAGAGGGACAGAGAAACATCGCGAAGCGATCCAGATCTGATCTGTCATGTGGAGGGAAACAAACTCTTAAACTCGTACAGTGCCCAAAAGCTTCAATGCAGCAGCCTCGATCATTGATAGTCATTTGTCTGTGGCAGTAAATGAGCGAGAGCCACGAAGCTCAGAGCATACCGTTTGCTTCCTGCTGCCCAGGAGGTCATGAGATCGGAACTTGAGTCACCGAGCTGGAATATGCACGAATTCAAGAACATTTCACAAAGCGGGACCCTTGGAGCTGCCGTGTATACTCGAAGCAGACTTAGACGAGGCTTATGGCTATCATTTTCGTCATTATCGGCGTCTCCAACTTGATTGCTGCTCTTCTGTCGAACGGGTGCTTCGCAATTCTCAATGAGGCCTGCTGCCTGGCCCTGAACTGCATGGCATGGCATGACAAAATGTCACCTCTTCAGGGTTACAATTCAGAGGCATAGGCTCACAGTGGCACTCAATGTCATCCGGTGTGTATGCATGGCTCGGTGTCCAGAAGGCCATCAGCAGCTCGCAGCATGAGCCACTCCACATTGCCCAGTCTTGCGGTTGCCCTCATTGCAGGCGATGACTCAGCGCTTGCGCATTGCCATTTTGACATCTATGTTCCGCCAGGAGAGGGCATCTCCAGCAAACAAGTGTTCAGTAATTGTGAGTCTAGCTAAGTTGCCACATTCTGTCCTTACTGTGTTCCCCTATGGACAATCAGTGAGTATAAATCTTTCTACACTTGGAGTCGTAAAAAGCCTGCTGAATCATACTGACAAAGCTTTCGCACTAGTGTAATCAAGCAGTCGTGGCTCCTTCAAACCAGTACGTAGTCGTAGTAGTAGTAGTAGTAGTAGTAGTAGTAGTAGTAGTAGTAGTAGTAGGAGTAGTAGTAGGAGTAGTAGGAGTAGCAGTAGCAGTAGGAGTAGCAGTAGCAGTAGCAGTAGCAGGAGCAGTAGCAGTAGCAGTAGCAGTAGTAATTGTTGTTGGTGCTGTTGTTGTTGTTGTTGCTGTTGCTGTTGCTGTAGCCGCTATGGATCACAGCAGGCTGTGTAGCTTTGCTAACAAGGCTCTGGGTACCAACGCTAGAGGCTCGCAACGTGCCCCTTCTGCGAAGCTTAAGTGACCGTCCTCTTACTGAGCCATAGCTATTCCCGGAGCCGCGTGTCGCTGTGATCTACCGGGTCCCAATTCCCGGGCCTGTGTCTGCAGTTATACAACCTTGGCAAGAGGTAAGCGGTAGGGTTCTCACCTTTCCGCGGGGTGAAGGGAGTCGGATCGAGTTCTCTCTTTCCGGCGAAACTAGCGGAAGGCGCGTCGACTGTGCCTCAGTACTTTTCTCCTGCCGATGCTTTTACATTTACAAAAGGACCTGCCGCACCAAGCCATTCAAGGGGCGGCCCCAGTCATGGGTTGGCCATCTTCTGCACCTGGGTATCCTGAAGGAAGCTTTCGAGTTGAGGCCTCGTTCCGCTCCTCTCTTCGACTTTCCAGCTACACGACAAGACACCCAGGTACAGCTCACGGTCTCTCCTGCGCAGTTTTGCTGGCGCTCTGGTTTTGCGCTTTAACTGGTACACCTCCGCAAGAAGGACACGGATCGTCTGGTATTCTCATGCAGTCTTCTTCGAGCACTAGTTTTTCCTTCAACGGCACAGTGGACTGCCACCAGCTGCTACGAAGCCAGTGCGATCGAGAGTTCTTCGTCACGGTTGAGTGTTTTCTGCGCTTCACTTCTGTTCAGCCGCCAGCGCCTGGGAGCAAGTCAGACTCAGGACAGGCTAGGCGCAACGTGGTGACTCACAACGCGTCAGCATCCTCCCAATGCTGGCCCCGACGGGCATTCCAGGGACTCCTCTTGCTATGGGGTGCCCTTGAGGGCCTAGAGGGGCTATCCTCTCTTGAGGGGGAGGCCTCTCGGGGGCCGCCGGGCCAGACTTGTCTACAAGACAAGGCGCAGATTGGGACACTGGGGACTCAGGTTCAGCAGAGTTGGCCAACGTCTTCAGTTCCAGCACGGTGTCTACCTGGTACGGCTCCACGTCACATCTGGGTACAGTCGTTAAGCGGACGCGCTTGCTGTGCTATGGGTGTCGGGCTACGGCTACGGCCCTCCCAGGTGTGTTCGTTACTGTCCTGTTACCGACGGGGCCAGGCAGTGCTAGGAGTGACGGCCCACGTGTTTTTGCTTGACGACGAATTATCCTTACGGCCCATCGCTGGTAGTCGGGAGTTACCTAGTGTGGGACGCCACTAGACGGGAACTCTGGGAGACGGCTCTTCTGAGTACGACCCACCGGCTGCCAGTTCGTGAGTATTGGACGCAATGACTCACACTGAGGGTGACGGAGGCTACATGACGACGACTTTGTGAGTCGGGCTGTCACGTTAGGAGTTTCGGGCATCGCTCGCGTAAAAAACGGGCAACGCCTTTGTAACTGAAGTCAACTTCTTGTGGCCTATCCCCTAGAGGCTGGTGCCCAAGAGCTGTTGCTGCTGTGTACAGTCTGCAGCGCTGCTCTTCTTGACTTAGGCCCTTTCTCTTTTAACGTTTGTAGCATCGGCTCCTCTTTTTCCTTCACTGAGGATCCTATAGGGGTTGCGCGGTCTTCTCTGTTGGTTTTGTTAGGTCAGTTCGTTTTGGCTTGTTTTACGCGAGGCCTCGGGGCCTGACTTCGGTCGTAGTTCTCAGAAACGGATGAAGGAGGTACCTGCGATTCTCGCATGGGCAGTCCCCTCGCGCAAAGCGCCAGTCTGTTTCTTTTTCTTTACAAGGCCGCCGGGCGAAGACCGCGTAACCTCTATAAGAATGTCGGCAGGTCAGATTCTAAGGGAGTGGTGCTGGCTTATGGCTCACCTCGGTGGCGCTGGCTCACGGCACACTCGAGGATGGCACGCTTCCGAAGTTTCTGCTCGCCCGCAATGAGCAGAGCCCGCTCGCTCAGCGTCCAATAAAAATTGCTGTTGCTGTTGCTGTTGTTGTTGTTGTTGGTCGGCGGGGTCATGGTCACGCAGTGTACGGGTGTACCTTGTTTTTGCGGTTGTTGTTGTAGTTGTAGACAACAGCAGATAGTAGATAGTAGATGATAGCAGTAGATAGTAGAGAGAGAGAGAGAGAGAGAGAGAGCAGTAGACAATCAGGAGTACCCCAGAAGCCGTCCACTCACTATCACAGTGTGAGGGACGGGCGGGCTGAAAGCCTGCGGGTCACGACAGTGACCCCTATGCCCGGCAGAAAGAAAGAAAGAGCAGTAGATGTAGTAGTCGTCGTAGTAGTAGTAGTAGTAGTAAGTAGTAAGTAGTAAGTAGTAAGTGGTGTAAGTGGTGTAAGTGGTGTAAGTGGTGTAAGTGGTGTAAGTGGTGTAAGTGGTGTAAGTGGTAAGTAGTAAGTAGTAAGTAGTAAGTAGTAAGTAGTAGTGGCAGTAGCTGTAGCAGCAGTAGCAAAGGCAGTATCGGCGGCATGTTAGTGGCGCAGAGTACTAGCTACTAGTGACTTCTTCGTCGTTGCGGTGGTGGTAGTCATGGCAGTGGCCTTCGTCGTGACTTCTGCTGGCTTTCGGGCGATGGATCCCCTCAGTCTTTCACTGCTCAAGGAGGTGGGCTTTCACGACGATCCTGCGCACACACCTGGGATGCTGTCGAAAGCCCTAGAGCTTCTTGAACGGTTTGGAAGCAAACCACAGTATCACTTGTGTTCATTTGATCTCGTTGCAGTGTTGGCAGTGCTTGGGAGTCCGTATGAAGCTCCTCGGAAAGGCCTCATGTCAGTCCGGTCCCGTATTTGAGGCTTTGGGCCTTCCGTGTCACTGTGCTGTGCAACTCAGTGGCGTCGAAGGCTTCAGCAATGGCCTCGCCGCTAGCTGCGAAGCCTATGCTGGCAAGTTTGGGCTACAAAGCTTAGTTTTGAGAATTTCAACACACACTTTACCGAAGGCACTTCCATCATTGCCCCCATGTTGTTGGGGAGGGTCCGGGTGTTGATCGGTCAATTCTTTGGATAGAGTTCTGATCGGCTTCTTGAGACGTTCGGCATTCTCGATCGCAGCTTAGCAGTGCCATGCTGGAAATTGCAAAACTCTACCCAGAGGTTGCGTTTCGGAAGTCGCTTAGCCCATTCAAGGTCAGGGCTTGTCAGGCTGCGGCTCGAATCAGTTCTATCGCGTGAAAGCATACTCTGGGCGGCGATTGCTGCGTCATATTGGGACAAGTTGGACCCCTAGGCTGCTCGTCGGCCTCGTCATTGCCTTCGTTTACTGCTGGCAGATGTCGTTGGTTATGCTTGGCGCCACAGCTGCACCGAGTCTTTGTTGATGCAGGATGCCGCAACAGCAAAAAAGATTCACACTGTCGATGGTATAACTATTGATGGTCATGATGATAACCAGATTCCTGTGGAATCATGCTAAGGACGGACGAGAATAAGACTACTTTTGAGTTTAGGGCTTCGCTGTTTAGACCACCACCGACAAGCAGAGCCAGGTAATGCCAGTGGGGTGAAGGCTTATGCTAAGAGCACGTGCTAAGGGCATGTAGATTGAGCAGAAAGGGCTCCTCGTGACTTTTGTCGCCGCTTCAAGGCTCAATTCCCATCATGGTCATTGCCAATGCCCTCCAAATGATCGTGTTGCTGGGGGCTTCCAAGAAGGAGAATGCCAATCTCACCAATGCCCAGCAGATCGTGGTCGACTCTGTCATGAATGCCCGCACTGTTCAGGCGCGCGTGCCCCCAACATGTTGCAACCATACACTTACACACATACCTGAAAAATCCGGGAAAGGCATTGGGTGTGGAGAAGTCACTGGTCACCCTTTACATGGGCTGGGTAAACAAGCCGCCCGGACGAGTCTGTCGCTGTGAATTTTTGAGGTCTTGTTATGTGTCATCCAAAACTCTGCCGAAATTGAGGGTGGCCCAAGGTATGGCTGACAAGTCTAGTGCTGGGATGTTTGCAGCGCAGACATGAACTGACCGGCGCGACGATTGGCCTATGTGAGATTAAATGCAAAAGCCCTAGCCTGACTGGAGAAGGCCAAAGGCCAAACGGATTCCAGCAACCTGCACTGAGACTCGGTGGCGCAGACACCCACCGAGTAGCAACTAAGCTGGTTCAGCTATGCCAAAACAATCCTGCCTCCAGCAGCACTCTAGGTCATCCGAAGGCTTGTGGCACCGCAATCTTCTCGCTGGTTTGGGCTTCGGTGTGGCCAGCGGCATCTCAGTTTAGTTGGACCTCAATGTGCATGTGGCACGTATCGTTAAAGCCGTCAGCTGGGATGGTAGCCTTATCGCTGGCGTAGTGGAGCAGTGCAGGGGTTAGGAAGTTGAGCTGTGCTGCCAACAGGCATCCTCTTCCCGGTGATGGCTGGTGGCTTTTACGTGGCTACTTGGTTATGGTGAGATGAGCGGATTTCGGGGCAGTCGGTGTAGGGATCGGACACCTGTAACACAGAATGAACGCTTCTTCGGTTGCCGGCCGCGTTGTTGATGCGAACAAGACTACGACCAGCAACAGCTGTAGAGGAAGCTCCTCTCATACCTGACTGCAATCCCTTCCTTGCAGATTTACGTTGAGAGTCCGAGCTTTCGTGCCATGAGCCGAAGTTTCGGAGGGGCTCAGTCAGAAATCCCTTGCGTTGCTTGAAGCTTGCAAATGCATTCGTGAACCCGAAATCTGAAGCCCTCCCCGACTCAGCGGCGAAGATCCAGGGACATCCATAACATGAGCCCCAAGATTGCAGTGACTACAGCATGCTTGATGCAGGCATCAATCCTCATCCGTGGCGGAGCAGCAGACTTCAGGGGTGTCATGATGGCCTTCATGGGCCACACGGTCCGAATTCAGAGCAGCCTCAGCGGAACATTCGGCTTGCCATGCCAGTTTAATTTTCCAAGAGGCTTGTTGAAAATGCGCTAGTGCTGGCTAGCCGACCGCTGGGAAAGGGTTCTGAAGTTTTCCGAACCTCCGGGCTTGGAGCCTTAAGGCCTCTTTCCAGAGCATAGTAAGGATAAACTGCATTTGCTTCACAGCATCATCAGGTGTTTCACTGCCGAAATGACAGGCCCCAAACCCTAAACCGTGGTATACTGGATACATGGTGGTTTTGAAGCTTCCGCATGGAGTATCGCGACACGGGATGAAGTCTGACCTGACTGGGCCTGTGCCGGTATCTTCTGATCGAGAGCCGTTCTGCAATGTTTGACCCTATGGGAGACACGTTGACAACAGTGTTCAGAGTTCTATACGGGGTCGAGCCGGTGCCAGTGCATGATTTCTGCATGTGAAGGTGCGAATTTGGACTTTTGCGAGAAACTGCTTGAGCACAGTTGCATGCTGACTGCATGTGAATTTGCGAATTTGGGACTGTGGAGTGGCATGGGCATGGATGCATGATGGGATGCACGAGTTGTCTGCAAAATCTGGGCAATGAGCGAGCCAGCCTGTGGTCTTTTCGCTATCGATGACGTAGTAAATGTAGCTTGGGAGGGATGCGTTAATGTTTGCCTTGGCTAATGTGCTGAGAATGGGCCAATGTGCCGTCGTCGCGACTGGGATCCTCGTTGTGGTATGTCCGAGAGTGAGTGCTGAAACCCTAAACCGTCTAACTAACCTGTCTCCTCTCATTTGCTGGGTTACCTATGTTACCTATGCCTCACTTCCTTTCGTAGGGTGGTTCTAAGCTTTGCTCCCCTTGTCTGACCCCGAAGTGAGAGACCTCGCTCGGCGTGTCCGAGTTGTGAGAGCGTAAACCGTCGAAACCCTGCAAGCTACAAGGCGTTAAACGAAAGCTGGGCGGGTTGCAAAAGAAGGTGTATTCTACGCCGGGGCTGGAGCCGGCCAAGCTGCAGCCATGGCTGGCGATGCGACGAAGGCCAAAGTGGCATGTCACGACATGCGGCTTGGCATATAGCAAGGGATACAATAACTTCAGGAGAACAGCCAAGCACAGCTCCAAGGTTCAAGCTCATGGACCGAGTTTCCCAGATCAATGGCCTTGAGCCGACAGGATCCTTGGAATGGTCTAGACCCATGCAACAGCATGTCTTCAGGCAACGTTGAAACATTCGCGGGAGCCAAAAAATGAATTGTTCAGGCACCGTTGTGTGGTTGATCTTTTGGCTTTCGATAATGCCCATGAGTTGCAACTCGAAGTGTACCACGGCTCAGTGGTCGTCCACTTTGAAATGCCTTCTATCCGGGTCTCCCATTAAAGCGCACTTTGCTTGGACCTCCGTGCAGGAGAAAATCCGAAAGGTCTCGAAGCTGGCCACATTCAGTTCCAGGACCGACAAGACATGAATCCTTCGCAAATGGAGCTGCTTGAATCCCTGCTGGCCACGCATAATCAAGCAGTCTCGAGGACTAATTTGGCATGGGGAGTTCTGTTCGGTTGAGGCTTTGCTCAGCATACAGACTGGACACCACGGATCAGCTCGGTCTCACCAACATGCGTCGCTGTTCAACAAAGTCTCGTGCTTTGCACACCTGTGCAAAGCCGTGTGAAAAAGTTCTGTGAGGACGTGAAGTTCTTTTACCCTTTCCGTCCAGAGATGCAGGTGCTCAAGGGCAGCCCGGCCAGAGTACCACAGAGTACCACTGCACCACAAGCAAACCGCCTCCTCCACTGTCAAGCACGCCGATTCGTAGCCGGGCATGATCCTTCAACTGGTTCCAAGTTGGGCCAATTGGTCAGGTCCTTTGCATCGGTTGAAGCCTGGCCCGAAAGTCACATGAACGTCCTCGAGTCCAGATTTGTGCCCATCGTGCTTCATCCTTTTCTTGCTTGCCATGTAAGGTATTGCTTTCACGATCTCTGCGGGAATGTCTGTGGGCCTGGTCGGGCCGTCTGGAGGCTTGGCAATGTGCGGAATCTGTTGAAGTTTGCTCCCTTTGCGAGAAACTCTCACCTGATTTCAGAAGTCATGAGCTTGCAAGTCTTGCTTAATTACTCAACACTGGCTATAGTTATGGCGACCCAGCTACGGTCGGAGTTGTTGACTCCACAGGCGGAAAGAGCACAGTGATGTCCCTCATCCAACGATTCTACGACCCCCAAGAGGGCAGCGTGCTGATTGGCAAGGACGGGCCCGCAAGCTGAGAGTGCATTGGCTATCACGTAGCGGTCCTTGATTTTGGGGCATGGACATCATGTGCCGGTGAAGTGGCAGCTTCACGGGTCGCTCGTCGAGTGGGCACATCCTGCAACTGAGCATGAATTCCTTCTGGCGTCGTTGAGACGTGCAGATGGTGGCCGACCAGACAAGATCTCAGCGTGGTCTTTGTGCCGAAAGCTGTCACAGGAGCGGGTGCCCCTGAACACCGTCAATATACGGTGGTGGCGGCGGCAGATCGGCTTCGTGGGACAGGTGCCAACAGGGCGTGCTGTTTTTGTTTGGTATGGTCCGATGATTCCAATGGACCCCGGTCAGGAGCCGGTGCTGTTCAACACCACAGTGCGGAGCAACATAATGACGCTCGATGCCCGTTAAGACACGCTTGAACAACCAGGTTTTTGAGGTTTGTACTCTGAGCTGAGCAGCAAATCAAATAATTGCGTCACGTAATGACACTAGGCACGTTGCCTGTGACCTAAGTAGATGATCGCATTGCTCTATTGTTGTTTGAGTGTTTGAGGTTGTAACGGTTCACTGTGGATATTTTGGCTCCTGAGGTATGGCTTGTCCGACGACGAGTCTGTCAGCGAGGAGTACATAAGGAAATGCGAGGGCATGTGCAACCTCGGGTTCTTGCATCTTGACTCGGAGCAAGCTGGTTAAGACTTCGGTCATTTTCGGGGCCCGGGTTTTTGCTGAACCTCAGGCTTGCCCGAAACCAGGATCACTCTGGTCTCGAGGGGCGTGGCTGAACATGCAACACTGCCGGACAAATCAACATGAGAGGCTCTGGAAACTCGAGCTCGCTCCGTGTAGCTGCGCGATGCATGCGTCAAAGTGCCGCTGCAACACACTTCGGCTGAACTCTTAACTTGGCAAAGAAATTGCAGTCTCGTCTGGGCGTGAGTCTTGTCGGGTGTCGGAGCCTTCGCGGCTAGGATGATGCACAGTGAAGCATGACACATTCCGCTACCTTCATCTTGTGTTGTGCCACGCAGGCATAGTGACTTCAATGGCACGTAAATAGTAATACTTCCTGGTGGCGGATTGGCTGTTTAGGTTGGACCGGTGGCAGCCCGTTTCCAGCCTTTCTGCTGTTGCGGAGGTATAAAAATGGCAACAACGGCCTCGAGACGGAAGTGGGCCCACGGGGCAGCCGTCTCTCAGGCCGATTGTGAGTTGTGCTTGTCTGGGTAGAGCGTGAGCATTTCTGAGTTGAAGGGCTACCCGTGGGATAGATTGCTGACTGCTGCTCGTAGTGAATACGGTCGCGCTTTCGTGATTTCGTTTTTTTGGGGGTATGGATTCTGGAGGTGTTCTGCATGGCTGGACTTTCAGCGTTGAGAAGCCTGAGGTGGTCAGAAGCAGCGCGTTGCCATCTGCCGCGCCCTCATTCGCAATCCACCAGTGATGCTCCTTGATGAGGCCCGGGGCCGTCGCAACAAACGGTCTGCACTCAAACTGCCGAATGCAAACGGATCGGAGATCTTTGCAGGCAACTAGCGCTCTTGACACGCAGAGCGAGGCCATCGTCCAAAAGGAGCTTTGGATTGAAAAGAGATCTGGGGCCTGGGGTTTCTTTCATCAAGCCTCTGACGAGTTGTTGCCTGGCCTAGAATCCTAGAATGTTTGGGTTTGAACGATGCGATATTGAGCTAGTTGCCTTCGGTATTGCTGTTGTGGTAGTGCTACAGTCAACCAGAAGACCTGCTCTGACTAACCCCTCGCCAATCCTGCGAAGCCAGTACTTATCACACACTACTCCTTGGCGAGTACGATGCTAACCTCCCGCCTCTGGTAGTGTTTCCGCTTATGCTGTTCATGCTTTGCTAATCATACATACTCGTTCAGGATGTTGCCGTAGGACTGCATACCAAAGAGTGTAATTTTTCCTATAGTTACCCCAGCCTTGACCCTGAAAAGTTTGGGAGTTGCCATGGATGAACCCAACATATGCACTCATCCTATTAGAGCTATCCTCTGATTCTCAGACATCCTTATCCGAATACAGTATCAACCAACTCACCAACCGAATCTCGATATATGATGTGCTGACCGCGATAGCGCGATAGGCTTGCGAACCTTGAACGGCCCGCAAAAAAATGTCCCACCCCAATTGAGGTTTCGAATGCCCTCCCAAGTATCCTCGAAAGCCAATACCTCACTCGCAAGCTTGACTCGGCCCGGCAACACTACGTTTGCTGCAACACAGCCCGCATCAACCCGTGGGACACCCATTTGAGGCGCTGGAGGCGGCACGTGAAGGTCGCACATCTTTCGCAATTGCTCACCGCCTTTCTACTGTGCAAGGCGGGCGCTGCATGCTTTAGATTGAGCATTGAAAACTGTGCATGCCTGGGAGGGAGGGGAGGGCGGGAAAGGATAAAGAGCAAGACCGCCAGGCCAGTGCAATTACTTCTGCCGGGGGAGGGAGAGGGAGAGTTGGAGCCAGGCCGAACATGTCGAGGTGAACAGTTTTTGCGAGGCGAAGAGGACACAGGAGAGCACTTGGTCACCTTAAGCCCTAAGCGAGCGGCAGGTTGCGACATCATCCTCGTAAATGCTGACGGCCGTGTTGTAGAAAGTGGCAATCACGCCCAGCTGATGCAACAGAAAGGAGTGCATCCTGGACGTGTTGGGCAGTGTTCGTTCAATAGCTTTTTCCCTTGCTCCTCGGGTTCGGTATGTTTTGGTCGAAGTGCCGCGGCAGGAGTTGAAGGGAGAGGCAGCTACAGGTAAACGGGATTGAATTGCCGACCTCACTCGATGTCCACGCTGCTCAAAAACCCAGTCCGAGCCCGAACCCATTAGATTCTCACAATAGCATGGATTCGTTATCCGGGCCTCTCGAAGACCATGACTTGCAGGATCCGTGCGCCTCCAGACATGTGATGCAATGCCTTCTTGGCATCTTCCGAGGTATTACAAGCTCCAGATGCAAGCGCAGAAATGAGCCGAACCTCATCGTGCAGTACCACAGTCAGGAGATTCCTAGCTTTGTTTTTTTGCGGCTTGTAGGGGACCTCCAGACCGCCAGAGCCTGGTACGGCAAAGCCGTTTCCAAGCGTCCAAATCCAAATGCGGCAAAGTCGCATTTCCGGGTTCTTCCCGGGTACTTTCGTGCACGGCGTGTGGAGAGAGACAAAGACGTGCGTGTGCCGTGGCATTTTGCGAGTTGCACCTTGCAGAACCTCAGAGGCTCCGAGGGATGCTAAGATGCCAACTGGCAAACAGCTGAAACGGACAGGCTTCGGAGAAGGCGCATGTGCAGCAACTCAGCCCTCGCACAAATTTGTGAGTCGAGGACTTTCTCGCCCAGCGAAGAGGCAACCTTCCAGGAGAGCAGCTCTTCTCACAGCCCCGAAACTTAGCCGACCAGTCAAAGTACTTCGAACCCGAGACCTCGTTTGGCAAGTCCGAGTTGCGAGAGCGTAACAACTGTGAGCCCCGACGGCAGCAATCCCTGGGGGCAAGCGACGACGGCTTTTTCTCACGATTTCAAGCCTCAGACATTTGGAACATACTTGGACTCTGGAATGGACACGGAATCACACTTCTCATGCTTGCACACGCAAAGAGGCCCGGGTTGGAATGTCGCGATCGTTGCGTTTGTTCTGAACTCTACTGCTGGCTCTATTCAAGTTGTCTCAACTCCACGGGACTGTTCAGAAAAAAGAAGACCCCCACAAGTTCTGGTTAGCGAAATGGCCCTCTGAGATACCTGGTGAGGGATCTGCACCTGCCCTCACACACGAGCGCGCATGTGCATATGCATGTCTGGCCTAAGCTGACTTGTTCTCAGGTCGAACCTGGTCTGGAGCTAAGCTGTGCCAGCGAGAAAGTCAACTCAGCTTCAACTCGTGCTTGCCTTAAGCGTTGCACGGCCAGTGGAGAATCGGGGAGGAGACATTCACCTGTAGCTCCCGTAGTTCAGCTACACGACACTGAGCCCATGTCTTCTTTGCAGCTCTCTGTTTTTCCGGCTTTGACTCCTCAAAGTCCACGCGTGCCACAAGATGAGGTGATCTCCAACAACACCGTTCTACTGCATCACTTGGAAGGGCCCGCATCTCAGATGCAGCTTCCCTGCCATCTCCCCGGCTTTGGCTTGAAGACTGCACATACGTTGCCGGCTCCCAACCCTGTTTGGACACACCCCATCGTGAACAAGTACCTCGGTTGGGCTCTTCTAGAACCTATTCTAGGAGTGAGCCGCTGATGAAGCAGCTCTTCGATGGGCTGAGGCAGAAGGCCCGCGAAGTTAGAGCTTCAGGGAGGCTCAGGGTTTAGGCCTTATGGTCGAGGGTGAGGTTAGCCGGATGCCGGATGCAGCCAGGATGAACCACTTAAATATCAGAAACTTGAACGAGTCGAGTACGGACACAGGATCTTCGGATGCCGGGTTGGTGCTTCGGGTCTTTGTGAAGCGGCTTTGGCTGGTGCAACCGGGCCAGCCCAAATTTCAGCTGAACTTAGCAAGCTGGGCATGTACCGACTGCATTGCATTGCAAGCCGGCCATCGCGAAGTCCAGCGACTAGGGCCGCCTCTCTCCAATTTGCCAGAAGTTGGGTGGTCCGAGGTTTCGTGGTGCTAGTCACGAGACTTTGTCGCACACGGCTCAAACTCTTCAAGGTGGCAAACACACTCTCCCCGTTTTTTTGTGCAGTCTAGTCCCAGAGAAGCCGCAGCGAAGCGCCTTGTGCTGGCCAGGAAGTGCAAAGTTTGCTCTTCCTGCAGGCGGGCATGGGGCATGGCGAAGCTATGAACATCCAAGCCCAAACCTGCAGAAAGCCCCCCCCATAAAGTCGTAAAGCAGCTGTAGCTGTGTTGTGAGTTACACGAGCTATGCAAAACAGAGCAAGTTGCCACATACCATTTTGTGCGGCGCATACATGCAACGGACGTGCCCCCGGAGGATGCCTGCCGGTTGGCCAAATCGATGCAGCCAGGTGCGGGTCATGTTGCATGCTTTGCGATGTGCCACGGCCTACTGCTGTCGGAACAAAATCATACTGCTGCTTGAAGCCAAGTCTCTTCTGCGAAGGGATGTTTGGCAGTCGAGAACATGAACATGAAAAAATATTGGTAGCTGCAGGATGGGGCTACTTTTGTGACGACACTAGATCGGGGCAGATGTTCAAGGCCGTTAGCCCTTATCTCCGTTATACCTAGCGCACATGAGCGCAGTGCCACATCTGTCGGCCCCCCTGGCACAGTTCAGCGGCAGAAGCTCTACAAGAGGATGCTGTCGTGCGCGGCTTAGCAAAGCTGCCGGGGAGTGTTCTTGGTGCCATAGCCGGTGCTTTGGAGTCCAAGCTCGGACCTCGCTGGCACAACAAGGCAAGGCATGTTCGAGGTGCTGATCCCTTTCTTGTCTCCGGAGGCGGGAGGGATAGCGACCAGTACTAAGTTACTAAGTGACTAAAGAGACGTTTAGGGTTGAGGGCCTCGCCTCAGAAGACGCTGCCGGTTTTCCCGAAGAAAGTTGCAAGTTATCTCGTTATCTCCAACAAAGTGTAACTCGCTAGAGTTGGCAGAAACCTGCAGAGCAGCGGTCGGATGAATTGTGATACCTTTGCCACAAAGAGAGCCTTCCACCTGGCCGCTGGCAGCCAGCTATCACCTATATTGACAGTGAGTCGTCCTCAATCACATCGCCAGGAGAACGCATCCAGTGCTTCCGAGGCACGAGCAGCCCGAGAATGCCTACGTAGAGAGAACTCTCCAGTGCTTCCGGAAGGTTTCGCACAGTTTGGGGGTTCATGGTTCACGGTATGGACCACGCCATGAACTGGGGCCACCGGGGCTTTGTTCAGTATGAGAGGCGTCGACCCCGACCCCGAGAGTCTCCGCTTGATTTCAGGCACCCTTGCCTCACCACATGGCCATGGAGGCCGTCCTGTGCCAGCTGAGATGTCAGATCTCCTGGTGTTTCTTCCGCCGAGCGACTGACTGCTCAGCATGTGAGCAACCGGGGCATCGCATGGCAGTGGTAGGCATTAACATGCGGTGTGGCATTCTAAGTTTGAGCCGCCAGATTCTTGTACAAAGCGCCCTTGTCTCTCAAGACGACTTGTGCGGGCCTCGGTCGAGCTGAGGTTGGTGGTTGCTCTTTGTGACTTTGTGTTCGCTCCCACCCCCACAACCCAGCAAGTCCTCGGCATTGGAGCATATCCGCCATGAGGAAGATGTTCATGCATCGGCAAGCCCTTGGGCCTGAGCCAGGGCCGACCTGGCTTTGCTCAAAGCTGGCGATTCCGATGGTGTAGCATGCGGTCTTCGGGTCAGGAAACAAGCGCGATTTCGGAAGCACAGATCTGGTAGCGTAGGGGCATTCGTGAATATGCGTCGGACAGGGGCATTTCTTCAGACAAGCTTTGAGAAGGGCTTCCTGGAGATGTCTGGTGCACTGGTGCAGGGGTACGAGTGTTGATTCGCGTAGACCACGCGCACTACAGAATGGATGCTTTAAGACTAACTGCGTTCTGCATATCATATTGTCCGTCTGAAACGGCAGTCGTTCTTTGGAACTGCTCGCTGCGGACTGCAATGGTTGTTTGATGTTGCTGCTGTGGAGAAACTGCGTGACAGCAGACCCGGTTTATGTGGCCAGGGGGGAGCTCCTTGACATCCTGATTCGCATGTTGCACCTTGGCCGCATCGTGGCTGCAGGGCCTGCCAGTGGTTGAAATGACGGTCTGAATGTGCCTGCTTCGCATGCATCCCCTCAAAGCTCCGCCAGCCTTGGTTGTGCTGGTAATTATGCCATTGGACGTGATGATGCCGATGCTGATCATGATGATGATATTGCTCTGGGTGAGTGCCTCGATGACGAAGGAGATGCAGCTAAAGGTGACGGTCATCATCACCATCGTCTGCGTTGTCGACGGTGATGTGGATGGGGAATAAAGTTCATGGTAAGAGTACGAGACGAAGCGCCGAAGGGACATGAGCTCGAAAGCCGTCGGGGCTTGTAAGTCAGCATGCGATTACAAGCCTGGGCCCCATGCTGGGCAGCTCAGAACTCAAGGTACCCTCTGCCTTGAACTTGACGGTGCAGAGTCGACACACGCACAAATAGCCGTTGAGACAATCCCACCCGCGGCGACCCTGCCAGCTGGCACTGAGCCCACGAGGTTCCGGGATCCAGACCACGGGGCCTGGCTCTCGTAGAACGATTTTTGCTTCGCTGAGTGACCGAAGTGTTCGGAGGAAACCGGTCAAGGCTTCCAGGTCAGGCTCTTCTGCCGAGCCTGCGCTCTTTTTGCTCCTCATGCTTCGAGTGCAGAGAACTGCCTAAACACAGAGGCGACCCTGGTTAAGCAAAACCTGTCGCATCTTCTTTTGAGCCGCTGCTGATGTCCAAGTCGACTGAAAGCTACGGCAACACCATCAGTCCCAACCAATGCAGTTGCCTGTATACGGCATGTCAACCCTGAAGGATGGTGCAGGAAACGCAGTAGCAGATTATGGTCAATTTGGGTAGCCTTCTGAACCTTTGCCCTTCCTTTAGGTCCAGAGTCAAGTGGCTGATGTGCTTCAGCTTGTTGGGAGCTCAGCTGCGTCAGTGATCAGTAGCAGAGCTCTCAGAAGATGTGGGCGGTTCTTTGAAGGTAGGAGGGAGCAAGCAAGCAAGAAAGGATGCAGGTCATCTTGTGAATGTATGTATCCCCCCAATGAATTCAGAAGAAGAACGAGCCTCGGCTGTTCAGTTCCTTCGCACAAAGCCAGCCAAATACATCGTAACTGCACGTGTTTCGGTTTCCTGACTGAACCAGGCTTTGCCAATGATTGTTCAAAACAAGCTTGCGCTGCAGGTGATGAGTTGGAACGGGAAGGCCAAGGAAAGTATGTAAAGCTTCTGCTCGAATTCACAGACCGGACCCTCCCACGGCGCACGGGCAGCATGCTTTGTTTTCAGACCATCTCCAAGCCTGGAGTCCCGAGTTCCG